TGAAGATATGGTGTATCCTAGTTCCAGGGTCGACCCTAAAGTCAAGTAATCCTATAGGGATTCTTCTTAAATTCTCTTATAATGATCTTACCTACTAAATGCTAGAGGTTAAGATCAATATGTGGAATTTCAAGTTGAATAAAAAGAAGAGTTTTGAATTTCTAATAGTGGGGTACCTCTTCTAGTTTTCTAAGACTAGTCAATAGGAAAGTCCTATGGCTAGACCTAGGCTACTAAAGAAGTTTTCTAGACCTCAACCAAAAGTGAGGTCAACAAGCACCCTATTACTGCCTGATTTGTGAGCCAATAATAGTAGTTTTTTCTGTAGTGACTTATTAATCTAATACATACCATCAATCTAAACTATTACCTCTTATAAACTTCTGGAAGACACACCCTTCAGATATCATTAATGAAAAATTAATAATAGACACAGTTCCCAAAAAAAAATCATAAATAAGGTGACACATGATTCTCTACTAATACCCCAAGAAGACAATTCCATATAAAGGACTTGATGGAAATCTGTAGTGGATACAATTCTCTTTAAAAAGACCCCTAAAAAATCTCATATGGTTAAAAGCCTTATGAGGTACAACTAAATTTAAAATATTTTAAAAGTCTTAGATGATAGAGATGCACGCAAATTATTTTAGACAAAAGCCTCATGAGATACAAATATATTAAAAAATCTCATAAGACTAAAAGACTTATTAGGTTTTCGTACATTTAAAAATTTTTTTAAGGCTAAATGCCTAAGACGATATAAATAAATTAAAAAATTTTTAGAAGCGTAAAAGCCTTCAAATGTATATGTTCATTTAAGAATATTAGAAGGCTAAGAGCCTCATATGTTAAAAGTCTCAGAAAGCTAAAAACTTTTGAAGGTACATGTACACTTAAAAGTTTTAACAGTTTAAAATTTCTAAAAATATACATGTTTATTCAAAAACGTCAATAAACACAAGCCTTAAAAGATGTAAGTAGATTAAATTTTTTAGAAGACTAAAAGACTTAGAAGATACAAATGTATAAAAAAATTTAAAAGGCTATTGCCTCAATATACAAATGTACATTGAAAACCTTAGAATGCTTAAAGCCTCAAACAAAATAGTTGTACTCCAAAATCACCAATGACTACAAGTTTTAAAAGTGCATGTATATTAAAAACCTCAAATGATATGTTTTAGAAGGTACCTGGTTATTTATTTATTCAAAACTCTTAGAAAGTCATCTATCCATCCAAAAATCAGGGAGCACATAAGCCTTAAAAGGGTTCAAAGGCAATCTGCTCCCATTAATAGGATAATAACTCAATTGTAAGATATTGTACTTTTAATAAGATTATCTTACATGAATATAATTACTCATTCTTCTATCAATCACAAGCTCTTAAAAATGAAGACAATTTATAATGAAGATCAAGAGTTCATCACTTATGAGTATTATATTCAATATATTACTCTTGAATTTTGACCAAACTAATGCATTGGATGGTATGTTTCTTCTTAATGTTTGCATCATGAATGAAATATATGTCTCAAATGTAATCATTTTAATAATATAAAAGCCAACAATGATGCTTTTCATCATCAATATTAGCATCCAACATCAATAAATTTTAACAAGCAATTTCTCTTTTATGAAGTTATTAGCTTCAATAATTTTGGAATTTGATGTACAAGTCAAGTTAAATATTCAATGCTTGAGTATTTAAAGATGAAACTTAACTCATATTTCAATGGAAGATCAAAGCTTTGATACAAGAATATAAGTCTTAATCACCTCCAAATCTTATCTGCCAAATAAGAACAATCAACAACTCTTTCGAGAAAATATTAAAGTCATGCCATAAAGACTATGAATCTTAGTCACCTTCAGATTAAGTCCATCTAAGAAGAATAGAAAGATGCACTAGAAATTTTCAAAAGGCTGAATTTCTTCAAATATTTCTAGAAATCTTGTATAGCCCTCATCAAACCTTCAATCTCTTATATTAGCTTCAAATGGATAATTAAAATAGGCAGAGTTTGTTGCATGCAACAATTCTCAAATGGATCCAATGACATCGACATCAATGTCATTATTTGGCATCACCAATGTTGACACTGAAGCACAATATCAATCTAAAAATTAACTTTCATCTTTGGCGGTTTCCGAAGAGTATACACAAACTCAAACAAATCAAAATGATTAGTGCACAAATTCTAAGGAATGACCAAGACTACTGAATACTCATTTTAAAATATAATTAAATTTTCAAGTTTTTAATATTTCAAAATTAATTTTGTAGAGCAACAACATAGTATGAAATTGCTAATCAAGGCACATAAAAAAATTTAATTTAAAATTAAAAAAAAACATATTTAAATAACTTTAAATGTTTTTATTAAGCATCCACACAAAAAATTATTTTGACCTAGTGAATAAATTGAAATAGATTTTTGGAATTAATCGTCAGATAAAATAATAGAATACATAATATCATTATTTATAAGTTTTCTATCATATCAAATAAATATATTTAAAAATAAATAAATAAAAATTTTAATACTTTAGGCGAAGATGGTATCTATTTGATTGTAAAATTTCATTTGAAATAAATAGATCAATTTTAACATTAAAATGTCTAAAAATAAGATTTTTCTATAAGTTAGAATGGCCACATTTCATGATGATTTTTTCTTAAAACTTATAAGTAAAATTTTGATATTTTGCCGTCGGCGTCTTTCATCATCAAATTTGCATGTCATACAAGCAAACATATCGTTGCGTTAGTTATCATCTCTTGGACGCATAATACAAACTTTTAATGCTCATCAACTTCTCTTGATGAGAAAGTCAGAATATTAAAAAAAAAAATGGAAAAGCTCTTCCACGCAATTTGGAACCAATTTACAATGATTGGTAATCTCTTTCTCACCTTACAACCAATCCTATAAGAGGGCAGCTCCAACTAGGGCTGTAAACGAGCCGAGCTTGAGCGAGCTCAGACTTGACTCGTGTTCAGCTCGTTCGACATAGCTCGTGTTCGATATCGGCACATGTTTGAAATCGGCTCGTGAACAGTGTGTTCGTGTTCGGCTCGAAATTGACTCGTTAAACTAAAATTATGAAAAATAGATGTAAAGTGTGAGATTCGAACCTGTATCAAATATATAAAAAAAGAAGACTAACCACATTGCCACATGAGGTGTTATGATTTAAACTTAGACATAAATATATATAATATATTGTTATGTAAATAATATATGTAATATATTGTTATATAAAAAGTTATATAATTTTTTTTTCTAGTCATTTCAAGCCGAACATGAGCGAACAAACTGTTGTTCGTGTTCGGCTCGTTTATATTTCGAGCGCTTAAAAATTTGTTTGTGTTCGGCTCGTTTGGCTTAACGAACGAGCCGAACACGAGATGCTTAACGAGCCGAACACGAGCTGTTCACGAACAACGAGCCAAATTGACAGCCCTAGCTCCAACTTATTAAAAAACAACTGCTTCACAGTTGAAAAAAATAATTTGTTGCTCAAAAAGCTGCGGTGGCGTACCGCTGTTAGAAAACAGTCATTGTACATAGTTAGGATCACAGTTTACCCAAACAGATAAAACTACAGTATGGTACTACACCGCCTCCGCATCACCTCCACAAACGAACCCTACATATCACTGGATTCCTATAAATTTACATATCTATACCGCCTTATTTGTCGGCTATGCAAAATTTACTTATTAGTTATATAAACCCATAAGAGTTATGTTGTAAGGATGTAAAGAACCAAAATTTTAAATTCAAAATTCAGTATGAATGTTTTTCCACTTTTTCTATTAAACATTAAATGAATGGCACAAATTTCCTCGATAACATTCGTTTCTGCATCCGTTAAAATAAAAACATAAACCCTAATCACCTTCCCCATTTCCGTCACCTGTCCTTCCCAAAGGAGACCAAGTACCGGTGAGCCCGAACAAGTCTCTTCCTAAACCGCACCAAATCCAGTCTCACCCTCTGCCCATCCAAATACACCTTCTTCGTCGCCTCCCATCCCTTCGCATTCACGCTATCTGGATCCTTCAGCACAGGATCATCCCTGTCATATTCGCTAGATAGCGAGCTCTCCCTTACCAGTATTCTATAGCTCTCATAACGAAGCTTCGCCTTCACCGCCGGCTGGCCGTAGTAAGTCTCCGCCGCCCAGTTCAATCCCAGCGGCACAATCTGTATGAACACCGAACCAGGTCTCATGAACAGCAAATGCGTCATGGCCGCCCCGTGTACTCCGATCATCGCATCCGATGAGTTCAAAGCCATGTATATCTTCGCCATCTCAGTCGTCCGTTCTGGTCTCAGCAGCTCTACACGAAACCCTACCTCCTCCGCCATGGCCGCGAGTTCCGACTCATTCTCTATTGCTCTGGACCCATTTCTGCATACAACAACCAGCTTCGGTCTCTGTTCCGATTTCCCCTGCTTAGCGTTTTCCTGTTTCTGCTCCTGCAGGATTGATCGGATTCTCGGCCGGTACGCCTCGTCGAGGACTTGTCGGAAGTCGGCCATGGTTTCGTTACCCGCCGTTCGATTCCCGTCAATGGAGAGTTCGTCGTGAATTTGGAGGCCGACGATGGCCTGCGGAAAGCAGTGGGTTCGGTTCTCCGCGGAGAAATCAATTGCGGGAAAATCGGAGAGGACGGAGATGACATCGCCGTACTTGGAAATCCACCAATCATGGTATTCGAGGATGAGGAAGATGACGCGACGATTGAAGCGGCGGGAGGTGAGGTAGAGAGGGATGAGACCATCGTTAAACTCATGGTACACGTTGCCAGTGTAGCCTCCGGTTGAGAAGACAACTGCGGGGACACCGTGTCGGACATCACATTTTGGGGCGGTAGCCGAAAGGTTAGCGGGTCGGAGATTGAGTCGGAGTTCGTTGATTGTAGACATGATCGGCGCTTCCCATTTACGGGTGTAGGGCCTCACGCGCTCCTCGGAGAAGGAAGAGTTGGAGAAGATGAGGAACGAGAAAGAAGAGGGGCGGGTGCGTATGTCGCCGTTGAGGAAGCAGATGTCTGTCCGGAAGGCGGAGCGATCGCAGCAGAGGGGAGAGGAAGGGGAGCAGAATTGAGTGGAAGGTAAAGGGGAAATGGGTTCGTGGATGGGGAGGTCGGGGAGGAAGACGAGGGGGAGGCGGGAGAGGAAGAGGAGGAGGAAGGAGAAGAGGAGGAAGAGGAAGAGGAGGCGGAGGAGGCTTGACCTAGGCTTGCGAGCTAGCCAGTGCTCTGCAACGGAGATGGGGAGGACTTTGAAGTTGTCGGGCTCGGGCTGGCCCTCCTCTTCCTGGGCTTTCCTCGATTGAGGGAAAAGGCTTCGATGGTGGTGGTGTTGGTGGTGAGCCATCGTCTCCGGCAATCTGTTCAGTAATCTTTATAAGAATTGGAAGGAAAGGAGATGGAGTTGAGCGGAGTTTAGACGGCGTGTGCTTGGTTTGGGAGGGAAGTTGTAAGGTGTGATTTAGAAGAAAGGAACCGTGTTTGCTGTTTTCAGGAAAGAGAGAGAGAGAGGAGTAAAAACTGGAGGGGTCAAGATTGGGTGTTGGGTCGCGAACGCGAAGTTTGATTTTATTGGACCGCAGCAGGCTGGTCAGAGACGCTTTTCTTCAATTTTTGTCATGGGATTCAAAAAAATTAAAACGAAACTCTTTGAGATATCTAATTTGATTAGATATCTCTTATCTTAATTTTTTTCAAGGTTGCCTTGAGAGGGTAATTTTTTAGTCAATTAATATTTTAATGTTATACGAAGATTCCGTATACGAGACAAACTTGATTTTTTACGTGAAAAAATTAGGAGGGAAAAAATCACGCAGTTGAAATGGTTTCATTTTGTTAATATATGTTATAAGACTTTGTTGGTCTCTAACTCGCAAGGCGCGGTGTTACAGAAGCGATGGGACTTTTGGTAGTGGAGTGGGGTAATATGTTGGGAAAGTGGCAGCATTTTGACTGCATCGGTCCAACGACAGCAATGGTAGTGATTCGATTGTGGCAGCAACTGGATGGTATTGGTGGTGCACACAGTGGCGGTGGTAGTGGTGATGACAAAAATCAGACAATGGTGCTTAGACGATGATGCCGTTTCCGACAATCGAGCAGTGGTGTTTTGACTGCAGTGGCGGACTGACGATGCTTCGACGACAATGGTGGTGCCATCAGCGGCGGTGGCGACTGCTCAACAACAATGGTGGTGTCGTTAATTGAGGTGGCGATGTTCTGGGGGACTGACGATGGTGGAGCATGACTGCGGTGGTCTGGAGGTGGTGGAGCTCGATGGCGACGATTTGACGATGGAGGAGGTTGAAAGCGACAGTTTGGTGGCGGTGCAACTCGACAGCGGCGGTCCGACTGTGGTGGAGTTTGATGGTTGTTGTGGCGGTAGTATGGCTGTGGTGGAGTTTGATAGCGGCTGTTTAATGGTGGTGGAGCTTGTCAGAAGCAATCCGGTAATGGTGGAGCTCGATAGCAGCAATCTGACAGTGATGAAACTCGGGAATCCTCAAGAGTTTGGATCTCCCTTCGACCTTCTCATCGAAGTCTAGATCTGGCTTCACAGTCCCTCCTTCATGAAGGGAATGGAGCTTTATAGATTTTGGGAGTAACATCTTTAATAAATATTGCATGAATATGGGTCACTCTATCATACGAACTAGAGTGATTCCCTTGTTAAGATATTATTTTATTAATATTTAAATGCCTTAATAATTAAGAAATGAGTAATCTTGGGCCTCATTGGATTCGTCTCATCGAGACGCTTGATTTGACTATAAGATAGTCATATTTCGAATCCATCTGACTATTCAATCAACTATTTGAAGCCTCCAATTGCATTTAAACGACTCAATCTATGCTTGATTCGATTCGAGTTGGACCGAGTTTATTGTTTTAGGATTCATCTTGTCGAGTCACTTAGTTTGAGTATAAGTTTGTTAAAATGGAAGCTTAGATTATTATGAATTCATATTTGGAATAGTTTATTGTTCAAAATACTCTAAGCTTTGTGCATGATTAGAACTGTTTTTTGAGGATGCATCAAGAAGCATGCCCAAAAATTTATTGGGAATCAATTTTATTTTTAATTTGAAAAAGCACCTAAGCATTATTTTTTACTTCTTTTAAGACATGAGATCCCGTATAATTCGTGAACTAATATAATATGAGGGATATCATGGTGAAAAGGTTCAGAGAAGCTTATGTATCGGCACTTGGGTCTAGAAAATAAACATAAAACTATGCTATAGGCTATATAGTGCAGAGCCAAAGAAGGCTAGTTGTTTGATAAGACTGTTTTTGTAGATTTTCATGCTGTTAATAATTGACGGTATGTATGATGACATATGATAATTCTCTTCCTTTTTGCCTTGGAGAAATGCTTGTCGTGTTCGATGGTGTAGCCAAGTAGTTGTCTATAAGTTTGGTGAGAAGGTCTAACCAGCTTGTACGAGTATGAAATAGGAACTCAGGCGATGTATGCATGTTTAACTGGAGGAACTAGCATGAAGTACTAAATGCATTACTTGTTATGAGAAACTCACTAGAAGGTTGACCCTTTTGAACTGTAAGGAGCTTTGTAGCTTGTCGCTTCCAAAGATATACTAATGAGTACGATTGATTTAGACATCACTAGACCACTAAATGCACTACTTGTGGGCGCGATCCATTAAACCCATGAGGTAATACCCGTAGAGAATATACATAAAAATTGTTCGGTTCTTTTGATTCTCAAGTTATTTCTTGTATGTGACAATTATTATTCAAGAGTAATGATTCTATTGGCAATGTTTCATGACTAAGCTGCTTCTGTCAATAATTAGCAGTTCAAAATTAATGTTGTTATCCGTTTGATTATTTATGTTTGTGTTAAATCCTAAATTATCATAATTTTTTGGTTGAAAAGAGAATATAGAGAGAAAGAGAGAGAGAGAGAGAGAGAGAGCTCCTAAGGGTAGGAGATTTTCCCTATTTATTGGGCACGAGATGATTTCTCTCCCTTATTGGGCTACAAAATGATGATATTAAAGGATTTATATTAGTAAAGTATGATGTATGTCTATGCAACCTAACAATATCAATTTGAGGTCATGTATAGAATAGATGGCCTATAATTAGGGGTTGTCGAACATGTGATCCTTCTTTATTTGAAGCTGATACTTAATGGTGGGTACTCGGCAGATCAATTTAATAGGTCAACCTGATTGCCAGTTTACTGTAACAAGTACTGAATGGGTCGGTTCGGGAAGTCAATCCAACTAGTCAACCCGACAGTTGGTACATTGTAGTTGTGTTTTGCAAGGATATGCTATTAAGGGTCTGCTAACTCTTTCCAACCCAATAACAACCATTATTTTATTTTGAGAATATCATTTGTATTATGAACAAAAAACCTACAACAACATCAATTGAACATTGATCGAAATTTATTATGATATTGATTGAAGCAAGCTAATGATCGACAATTTGAAGCATATTTTGAATCATATTTGCATAAGATTGAAATAATAATTGCAAGAGATTTGATCATGGTTGAAATAATGATTGAAAAGTTTGAAACATGATCTAAGAAAAAATAATAAAAATCAAAATCAACCATGATTTAAAAAAAAATCAAAGAAGGTTTGATTTTAGTTATAACAATCATCACGTAAGTCATGTTAGGTTCAATCAAGATTCGATCAAGTCTCAAGCAAATTTTGATTATTTTGAGTTTTTATCATAATTCCGTTTGAAAAATAGTATGAATTTATTATTGCATACTCGCTATCATTTTTTGAATTGACTCATTTGAATTAGCATGTTATGTATAGAAATATCTGAAGGTGTGATACATACCTAACACACAAAATATTACTATTTATAAAATCTAGCACTTGGGTGCTATTTTTGAACTACCGAACCAATGTATTTACACGTGCCACAATCAAACTATTGGGAATTTCTTAAAAATGAAAAATATGAGTTGGGGTCTTACAAAGAACTTTGATATCTGCGTGAGAATTTGAAAAATGAATAAAAGACAGTGCGAGATTTATAAATAGCAATATCTCGAGTACTACAAATGTAATTGCCTCAACAATATTAGATAATTTTTGGTTAATGATGGCATGGTGTTGACTATTGGATGAGGCAATGATATATCTATTATTTTTTTTAATTTTTTTTCTAATCAATATTTGATGAATATGATGTTAATGGGAAAATTAATATTTTTATTAAATGATTCTATTAGCTAATTTAATTTTTTTTTTATAATTTTTATTGTCATTTTAGTTTATGTCTAAGTAGTTTGAACTCACAATTATAGAATAAAAGAATGGTTTAAATCCTAACTATCTATAAAAGGATATTTTAAAGATTCAAAAGCATGCATTTTAATCATAAATGTGGGCAATTTATAATGATATAGATGTGATTAGATTGAAAAGAGGCTGACTTCATTAATATTTATCACTGAAGCACATTGGGAGCAATTCAACTGTGTTTTGCTATGAACATTGCACTTGTATTTAATCATATCAAAGTTTTATTATTTTTTGTGTTATAATTATTAAGATTGTACTCACCTTATAAATGGTTTGATTTAATATATTAATTGTTATGTAAATATTTAATGCTTCTCATTGTGAAGTATCTAATACGCCTTCAATAATTTTATATTATTCAACACATATCTCGAGATATGAAATAAATCTCGAGAAATTTTTTTAAGCAAGAAACATTCAAACTTTGATTAAATTTCATTTAGAACTCTGATGTAAACAAACATACAGTGAAGTTGGCCGTTTCAACAAGATGGACCTAACAATACCAAAATTGATCAAATTTGAGTCAAATCAGACCCAGATCAAGTTAATAAACCACTGTACAGGGGCTTTCAAGGTATGGTTGGTAAGTCAAACGAATTTGAAATCTAGCATGCTTATATTCAAGTCAAGTGTTTCAGTGTTAAAAAATCCAATGAGCTCAAGATTACTTAATTTTGACATTATTAAGACACACAAATGTCTATCGAGTGTCATCTGATAAAGAAGATCTATTTAGGTCATCCGATCAAGAGTTATTTGGATTCCTTTTTTTAGTGACAACCAAAATTCTAGAAAAAGAGCCCTACCCCTTCTTGAAGCGAGGACTAGACCCTAAGCAAGAAGGAGGTCATAGCATGGAGAAGAGGGAGCTAAAGCCTAGGATCCTGCACTGATAATCCATCATACACTTTCTGCTCCTAAAGCCGCCAACCATCGCAGCACACCGCCGACCTCATGCTCCTCCTCCTACAATGGCCAACAATCATGGACCACCGCCAGCCTCCATCACTTGTGGCCGCCAACCATCATCGACCACCACTTGTCGGCCTCCCCGACAACCTTCGACCTCTCGGTCTTGCGGTCGTTGGCCTAGTCCAGCTTCCACCACCTCCAGCTAACTTTAGTCGCCACCACCTCCGACCAACTCCAGATGTTGCCGTCTCCGACCAACTCCTGTCACCGCCGCCCTCCAACTAACTCTGGCCCCCTGCTGCCTTCGAGCCAACTCTGACCGTTGCCGCCCTCCAACCAACTT